AAATGCCCTAGCATGGCCCAGTGTATACCCCGAATTTAACAAGTCCTATGTGTTCAAGATTTCCTAGCAGCTTCTTAGTGAACATTCTGCTTGGTTTTTGGTAATGACTCTGAACCCAGGGCCTCATGCATGGTAAAAATGTGTTCTACCACTGTGCTACACTTGCGGCACCAATCTTATGACTGAACAATCAAACATCACCAGAGCTTTAAGGATGAAAAGTAGACCAAAACAATGTTACAAGTAAAAGCAAAAACCATAGAAGAAAAGGTAATGGATAATGCACAGACACTGGAGTAATGCAGTCACAATCCAAGGGATGCAAGCAGTCACCCAAAACCAGAAGAGGGAAGAACATATTCTCCCCAAGAGCCTTCAATGAGAACATGGCCCAACACTGATATGCTTATTTTCACTCCATGAAACTGATTTTATATATCTGGCATCTTACCTGGAGGGTTGGGGGGGGGGCATTCTACTGTTTTAAGGAAAAAAAAAAAAAAAACCCAACCTTGTAACTCTGGCTCAGAACAAAAATAAAGAAGAGTCAGACATAGTGGTTCACATGAGGGGCCCACAGGAGGGGGATAGATGAAGGAGGATCAGGTGTTTGCCTGGGCTGAGACCCTGTCTCGAAAAACAAAAACAAAGTAACCAAAGAAGAGACAGGTGGCTGGGCATGGGAGACAGAGGCAGACCGATCTCTGTGAGTTCAAAGCCAGCCTGGTCTACACAGTGAGTTCCAGGCCAGCTGGGGCTACAGGGAGACCCTGTCTCAAAAAGCAAGGGGAAAAAAAGGAGACAGGCTAAAGACCCCTGCCTGCAATCCCAGCATTCAAGAAACAGAAGAGGCAGGACCACCATTTCAAGTTTGGGCCTAGGCCATCTACATGTCAACCAGAGTCACAAAGGACTCAATGTCAAACAAAACAAAGTAGCAGAAGAGCTGCTAATGCAGCTAAAGTCTTTGCCTAGCATGTAGGAAGCCCTACTAGATCCAATCCTCAGTATCAAAAACAAAACACACACACACACACACACAAAAAAAATATCACCACCAAAAACAAAGAAAAACACACCCTAAACAGGAAGGAAAGAAAGGGAATTCATTTCCTAATGGGTACAGAATTTCAGTTTGGAAAGATGAACTAGTTCAGTAAATACATTGTGGTAACATCAATCCAATATGAATGCATTTAACACCTCTGCACTGTAATCTTAAAGTGGGTTAAAATGGAGCTGGGTGTGGGAGCACACACTTGGGAAGCTAAGGCAGGAAGGTGCCAGTTGGGCTAAATAATAAAACTTTGTCTCAAAAAGAAAAAAAAAGGGAAAAGGGGGATTTAAAATGTACACAGTAAATGTGTATTTTACCACTTAGGAACAGGAAGAGGCTGAGGGGTGCAGCTCAGTAGCAGGGGACTTGTCTAGCATGTACAAGGCCCTGAATTTGATCCCTAGCACTTTCAAAAAAATAAACAAAAGGGAAGAGGGACATTATCCACAAAGAGGCAAAAGGAAATACTATATCCATTGGGAGAAAAAGAACATGGTATCTTTTTTTCAAAAGAACAGCCAAGAGCTGGAGAGATGGCTCAGTGATTAAGAACGCTTTCAGAGCCCGGTATGGGGGCGCATGCCTGTAGTCCCAGCACTTGGGAGGCAGAGGCAGGCAGATCTCTGAGTTCAAGGCCAGCCTGGTCTACATAGTGAGCTCCAGGACAGCTGGGCTACAGAGAAACCCTGTTTCAAAAAGAAAAAGAAAAAAAAATGCTTTCGGATGTTCCAGAGAACCCAAATTTGTTCCTAACAACCTTCCTTAACTCCAGTTCCAAGGGAATCTGACGCCCTCTTCTGACCTCCATGGGCATTGCATGGCACGGGTGCACTTATACACAAGCAGGCAATACACTCATACTCATAAAAAATTAAAATAAGCAAAATATTTTTTATAAATGAACACCCTAACAATCAGATCTTGGTTTCTAAATAAAACTGTCTACTGAAAGAAATGGCTAAACCCAGCATGATGACTCCATCCTGCTTCCTGGGCGTGGGGCATGCACATTCATTCACCCATCCACCTACCCACTCACCCACAAATAAAAATAAATGGTTAGCTGGGCATGGTGGCGCACACCTTTAATCCCAGCACTGGGGAGGCAGAGGCAGGTGGATCTCTGTGAGTTGGAGGCCAGCCTGCTCTCCATAGTGAACCCAGGACTGCTGGGGTTTCAGGGAGACCCTGTCTCAAAAAGACCAAAATAAATAAATAAATAAATAA